GTGTGTCGTCTGCATGCGGTGCCGCATTATGCACATACCTGAGGTGTGCAGCTACGTGGGCTGCGCATGTGCGTTGGCGCACAAGTATGATATGTGTACGCAGGCCGTGCGACATGTAGAGCTGCTGTGGGACGTTTGGTCTATACTCGGTGTAGCCGAGGCGCGCATAGGATTTCAAGCCAGACTCAGCAAAGCCATCGCTGAAGTCAAACATAAACCTGAAACCACCGTTAGCGCTACAGTTAGAACTCATAACTAAGCAATGCAATCTACACTGTACGCGGATATCAAATGCGGTCGCTAGGCCCAACCAAAGCTTAACTAGGCTACGCTAAGGTTCAGCTGCGATCGTCTAAGCCAACGCCTCGATAAAACAAGCCAGGGTACATCTACGGTGAGCTAGGCATGAAGCCGAACGTGAAGCTGGCGCTGAGGATGCCGCTAGAACTGAGCATCAGCTCATCTGTAGGGTACGGCTGATTTAGGTAATGCTGCGTGTATGACTGTGACGTGGTCTTGATTCGAATTCGTCGGGCCTTCGACCGTCGCCTGGGCCCTGGCCTCCTCGTCTGCCCGGCTCCTCGCTCGCTCCCCCTTCGTTGGGGGCACGCGTCTGAATGGCGCCCAGCAGGTCGGCTTGTCAGGGCAGCGCTCATTTTCAACCGTTTAGGTCGTGCTGTCTTCCTCACCGCAGTGCGTACGCTCTTCGGCCTCGCGGCCACGTGCGCGGCGTCGCGACGAAGAAGGGGTCGAAAAGGCGCGCGCACCAGCTTGGCTCAGCAGTGCACACACACACACACACACTCATGCACACACCACGCTCGAAGCGTGCGCAGCGCAGCGCACAGTCGCACTGCCTCCACCTGCGGCTGTCCGCCTCAGGCTGCCTGGAGCTCATGAGTACTGGGCCCGCAGTCGCGCCCGACTTGCATCCTCCGCTGTCTCCTCCTGGAGAGGCTACCAGCTCAAGCTGCCGGATAAGTGGGAGCAGGTCCAGGGGCGTGGCGCCCCAAAGCTGGACGACGCGACCGCCCGCACGCTTCTCGTGGTGCGCGCGCTTTCCCTGCTGGAATGGGGGTTCTCGGAGGAGGGCTGGCCGGGGCCGCCAGCGCGGGAGGAGGGGGGAGTAAAACTTCGAGAGGGCCCCAAGACGCCACAACCACTGATTCTCTTGTGGTTCTTGACAGACCTTGTTGTCCTCGCCTCTTCGGGCCTCCGACGCTCCAAGACGGCCCCAGAGGCCCCCAAGATTGCCCCAGGGCGGCCCACGAGGCCCCCGAGAGGGCCCCCCGAGCACCCAAGGTGGGGGTCAACAGCAACGCAGACAGGTTAACAGCAACGCAAGCCTACGCGCAGAAGGGTGAACAGCAACGCAGAAGGGTTACTACCTCGGCGCCGACGACGACCTTATGGGTCACAGCACGGGTGCGCTTGCCTCATGGGTTAACAGCAACGCAGCTTGTTGAGCTGGCAGAAGGGTCAACAGCAACGTAGGTTGGGTCGCGCTCGTCGCAGGCCTGGGCTGCGGCCGGCCGGGACGGTGTGGCCTCTGGTGGATCTCGCCCCGACCCCTGCCGTGGGGCCATTCCAGTTTGTGGCGGGGGTGCCCTCGTGCTCTTCGTCTCGGGGCTCCCCGCTCGGAGGTGCTCTCCGTGAGGGGTGTGCCTCTACGGGGCGGCCCCCGGGCCAGGAGGCCCCCAGGGGGCTCCTTCGCAGGGGAGCGCGGCCAAGAGAGGGGGGGGGGCGGCGAGAGCGAGAGCGAGAGCGAGAGCGAGAGCGAGAGCGAGAGCGAGAGCGAGAGAGAGAGAGAGAGAGAAACAGAGTGGGAGACAGAGAGGAGGAGCGAGGAGGCGCGAGGGGGCCTCCTGGCCGCTGGGCCCCTCCTGCTCCCTGCCCGACTTCGGATCGGCGGCGAAATCCGAGCCCTACCCTCGCCGATCAACGATTCTGGACCACTTCCCCAGGGCCGCTCTTCCATCCCGAGCCCTTCTCCGACGGTCCCGGGCCCGTTGAGGGGGGGTGCGACGAGGACGGGGAGAGATGTGAGGGGAAGAGGTGGAGGCGGGCGAGGAGGAGAGGCGAGGCGGGGGGGCGAAGGGCCGAGGCAGACGTCGGGGGTCAAGGGGGAGCGGGCGGGTGGCGTCGCCGCCTCTACCACCGACTCTGCTATAGCTGCCCATGCGGATTTCAGCATGCTCCACTCGGCGAACCTCCTACGAGTCAAGTGGCTCCAACCATTCACAACCTCCGACGCTTCACCTGTCCCAACCCGCGCACCCACTGCCGCGCGGACTTCTTGAATCCGCGCTGGGCCCCTGGCGCCTTCCGCGCGCCCAGGAGGGGGGCGGGGCCTTAGCGCAAGTCCAGGAAATCCGCGCGGACTGCGCAAGTTTTGCTGTTGTTGTTGCTGTTGTTGTTGTTGTTGTTGTTGTTGTTGTTGTTGTTGTTGTTGTTGTTGTTGTTGTTATTATTACTGCTGCTGTTGCTGTTGTTGTTGTTCTTCTTCTTCTTCTTGCTGTTGTTGTTGTTATTGTTGTTGTCGTTGCTGTTGTTGTTGTTGTTCTTGTTGTTGTGGTTGTGGTTGTGGTTGTGGTTGTGGTTGTGGTTGTGGTTGTGGTTGTGGTTGTGGCTGTGGTTGTGGTTGTGGTTGTGGTTGTGGTTGTGGTAGTAGTAGTAGTAGTAGTAGTAGTAGTAGTAGTAGTAGTCGTAGTAGTAGTAGTAGTAGTAGTAGTAGTAGTAGTAGTAGTAGTAGTAGTAGTAGTAGTAGTAGTAGTAGTAGTAGTAGTAGTCGAGTAGCAGCAGCAGCAGCAGCAGCAGCAGCAGCAGCAGCAGCAGCAACAGTAGCAGTAGTAGTAGTAGTAGTAGTAGTAGTAGTAGTAGTAGTAGTAGTAGTAGTAGTAGTAGTAGTAGTAGTAGTAGTAGTAGCAGCAGCAGCAGCAGCAGCAGCAGCAGCAGCAGCAGCAGCAGCAGTAGTAGTAGTAGTAGTAGTAGTAGTAGTAGTAATATTCATACAGTTCCTTGTGCACCCTTTGGCCACACCGGGGCTCTCTCGAGGCACCACTGGGCGCCCCCCGACGCGCCCCTTCCCCCGCAGCCCGCCCCTGCCTCCGCGCGGCCTTCCGCCTCCCCCCCTCCCCGCCCTTCGCCCTTCGCCCGCCGACCTCCTCCTCCGCCCCCGGGGCCCCAGCCCGGCGGCCAGGGGGCTGGGCGGGGAGGGGGGTGCGCCTCTCGGAGCGGGGGCGGGGCCCCCGTCCTCGGCAGCAGATCGTGTCGGGAGGGGCCAAAAACACACAGGCACAATGAATCTGCGACTCTCAGAAAAGATGGGGAAATGTGGGGAAGGGGGGGGGGGAAGACGAAGACCCCAACAAATATAGGAAGATGTGGGGGATCTTTTGATTTGTGTGTATTTATTCGTGTGTCCTGGGGCCCTTTCAATCATGGGAGCCTGGTAGACCCTCTCAGTTCCGTCTTTGGCGTCGATTAGCGCCGATGAGCGTTTGGGAGTCGATGAGATAGCGCCGACTCAGCGTCGGTCCGCGTCGATCTGCGTCGACGTAGCGTCGATGAGCGCCGACTTAGCGTCGACTCAGCGTCGATTCGCAAGAACCGACAAGATGGCATGGGAGGCTGCCACGAGCTGCCGCCGAACTCTCGGGACGGGGGACGGGGCCCTTGTCGAGACACTTTTTCGATCTGCGGGGCGAGAGCGAACCTCTTCCGCTAAAAGCTAGGCGGGCTGCGCACAGCCTCAATGAGGGAGACGGGGCACCGGAAGGCGGGGGCCTCAGGCGGCCGGAGCGGGCGGGGCCCGGGGAACGGGCGGTGCCGAAGTGGACGTGCAGGAAAAGGTACGCCACCCAGATGGTCTGGTACCGGAAATTTTCGGTAGCGATTTCGACGCACCCCGAATTTCGTAGCGACCGGATCTTCGTTTGAGGGCGTTGAAATAGCGGATTTCAGAACGGTCTGATACCGGTATTGGGCGCTACATTTCGGTATTTCGGTAGCGACCGATCTCTGCGGAGTGGTACCGGAAATTTTCGGTAGCGGACCATCAGGGCATGGACAGGGACCGGCCCTTGTCGAGACGCGCCGCCCTGGGGGCTCCGGGCAGGGCAGAGAGCGGCGGCCGGGCCCCCCTGGGGCGGCCGCGGAGCCCCCCGGCCGCACCGCGGAGCTCGGCGCCCCGGCCGCACCAAGGGGGCCCGGGGCCCCGCGCGGGCCCCGGCCGCCTGCTCGGCAGGGCGGGCCGGGCGGGCAGGGCGGGGCACAGCAGGTTCAGAAGTGGAGGGCGGGGCTTCTCGTCGAGAGGCGGCGCTCGCCTTTGCGCCGCGCGCATCCGTTTTAGACTTGAGTCGGGCCTGTCCCCCATACAGGGGGATGGATTTCGACGAAAAATGACAAATACCCCAAAAGTGATCAAAAAATAGTCCAAACATAGTCTGGTAACTATTTTTTGAGTTTTTTTTTCTTTTTGGAGCATTTTGGAGTATTTTTTTTTTTTTTTCCGTATCCTCCTGTAGGGAGACTCGCCCGACATAATTCTAGACGTGTAGAACATTGTCAAGAGCTTGTATGGCCGAAATCCCGGACATGGTGCTCCAGCACGGTTCGGGTTTGCCAGGACGCATCAGTCAGCTTGACCCGCGGTGTTGAAGTCTCAGAAGTGGTGTGGTGGCACGATCGAGGGCTGTCAGGACGCAACGGTCACGTTGACTCGCATCGCCAAAGTCCCAGGAAAGGTGTTCTGGCACGGTTTCAGAGTCTCAGAAGATGGTCTTTCAATAGGGCACGTTGATGTCTCAGGGACGGTGTCCTAGCACGATTCATCGCTGATGCGCATTGGGTTTACACTGGTCCTCCCTCCTCCGCCGCCGCCGTCGCTGCCCTCCACGGGTGCGGTCGTCTGGTGTCGACGGTGCGGGGCCTACGGGTCCGTCAGGGTAGGGAAGGCGTTCGGGGCCCCCTGCCCTGACCCAAGGACTTGCCCCCCAGCAGGCGGCGGGTCCTGGACTGCTTGCTGGGGGGCAGGCATCCCAAGGCTGGTAAGCCCCTGGAGGGGGGTGAAGAACTGGGATACACTTTGTCTCCCCCTGGAGCCGTGTCTGTGAGCAGACGCTGCCTCTTGAGCTCGCTCCTCGTTCCTCGCTGCCCGCACCAGAGGAGGAGGCCTCCCCCCTCCCCTGGATCCTCGGGCTCGGGACAGCACGGCGTGGGCGCCGCCAGAGGTGAGGGCACGCCCCGAGGCGGGCTCCCGCCCCCGCCCCAGGGCGGGAGGGGGGCCCTCGCTCGGGCCACCTCCCCACGCGCACCGCCGCACCGCTGGCGCACCCCGCGCGCCCGGGGCCCAGCTCCCGCCTCCTCGACCCACCGAGCGCGCTCCACTGCTGGCAGAGTGCCTGCTCGCAGACGTCCGGAGAGAATCGCACAGGTCTGCATCGGTGTGCCTTTACCGCAGGTCCCTCGCGGCGGATCCAGGCCATGTGCGAGCAGGCACTGTGCGAGTAGCGGCACGCGCTCGTCCATCAACGCCGTCGTCGCAGGCCTCCCGCTGTCTCTCCTCCGTGCTCGCACGCAGCGCACTGCACGCGTCGGCCTCGCATCCCGTGTGGCCCGCAGAGGAGCTCGGGCAGCGAGGGAGACCGAGGCGAGGCATGCCGGGGCTCAGGAGGCGGGGGTCGATGCAGCCGGGGGGCTCGGTCGAAGCGCCAGATCTTGCAGGCTCCTGCAGAGCCTGGGGTGCATTGGCCCGGGTCTGCGTGCAGGATGCCGCAGAGTCCTGCATGATCTTGCAGGATCCTGCAAGGCCCGACTGACCTGGGGCTGGATCGACCCGGGTCAGTGGATCCCCGAATCTGACGGATCAGAGCCGCTGGCAGCCCTTCCAGCTCGGCGCTTCGGCGCCCTGGCGCCCCCGCTGCGCTCATTTCAAGGGCCGCGCTCCTGTGTGGACTGCAGCGCCTCGCTGTCTCGCCTCGTCTCGCCCCTCCTCTACCCTGACACTGCTGTTGCCCCGCTCTTCGGCGGCCCTGGATCACCGTCCAAGACGACCCGCGGCCTCGGACATGGGGTCATCGAGGATGAAAGAAGCCCTAACAACCCTGATAACAGGGTGAAGACGTGTCCTCACTGGGGTCCCCGTCTTCGCACTGGGGATGAACGATTCTGGGCGGTTTGGTTCGGTACATCTCCCCTATCCCTAATGTTCTTGGCCCTCCTAAGTGAAGTCCCCTCTCGAAGTGTTAGGGTCATTTTTTCCTAAATCATCGGGTGACGACACCGCCGACAGCTTACAGGGCGGAAGGCGCGCTCCGAGCGAGGAGGACGGGGCGGATTGCGTGGCGCGGGGGCGGCGGAACCCGGCGCCTCGAACGACGGAAGCATCGTGGCAGAACCACGGCCGAAGCCGCTCTGTCTGGGGCGTGCTTCGGCTGCACCGATCCGTGAGGGCCCCCGTGGGCCCGAGGCAGAGCGAACCCGACCGGTGGGCAGATCGCGACGCCTGGATCTCCGGGACGGAAGTCCAGGCCTCCCGGATGGGGTCGGAGCAGGTGGGGTCGGAGCGTCGCGCCGCATCAGCGATGCGTCGGCGATGCGGCTCGATGTGGAGCCCGGCTTCCCCCACGCCGACGTCGCCGATGAGTCGCCGATGCATCGCCGATGCGGTCCGTTCCTTCGACCCCATCTACTCGGCCCCTATCTAGGAGGCCTCTCTAGGAACGGGGGCGGGGTGCGGCAGGGGGTCGCCGAGAGAGAGAGAGAGAGAGAAAGGAGGGCGGAATTGAAGCGGAGAGGGGCCGCTGGACCTCGCGCACTGGTGCTCCCCGGCACAGGCGCGGCTCGACGTGGCGCAGCTGGAGGCCCTTGTCACCAGGATCCCGCTGGCCGTGTCGCAGCGCGACCCACAGGGCGCGGATGCCCCGCGGCCGGCCGCCCGGCCTCAGAACAGCAAGAAGTCAGGGGTCATGATACGGTCCATTCGAAGGAGAAAACACGCCACAAACAGACTTTCGTCGCTCCGCGCGGATTTCTTGGATCTGCGCTCGGACCCCCCTGGCGGCGCCTCCGGCGCCGCCTCTGGCGTGCTCCGCGCGCCAGGGAGGGGGGTCCAGCGCAGATTCAAGAAAGCCGCTCGCATACCCAGGGGAGGGCAGGGGGAGGGGTGAAACCATCCCCAGCAGGGAAGATGGGCTTCTCGAAACGCCCCCGCCCGCAGCCGAAGAGCCGCCTGCGCCGGAGGCCTGCTCAGGCCCACCCTCCTCGGGGGGCCCCCAGACGGCGCGGTGACCGCACGGCGTGGCCCCACGGTGTGGGGGCCTGGGTCGTTCTCCGAGGATGAGGACGGCACAACCCACCTCCACCCCCCACCTCCCCCCACTTTCACTGTCCCTGACTCTCTTCGTGAACATACTGGTTATGTGGGAGGGGGGGATGAGGGTGATGCGGATCTGTGGCTCTGGGAAGCCTGGCAAACAATATGGGAAAATGAACTTCTAGGAGAGCGCCTCCACGAACTGGATTGCGCAACTCGCTGGGCACAGATGCAGGGCGACATGCGCTATGCGAAATGCAGACCTTTCCAGGACGCCTTTCTCCACCTGGAGTTCCAGGGGGTCCTGGCTGCGGCCGGGGGTGGTTTTCCTTGTGGCCCCCAAGAGCCCCAAGTCGCTCCCCCCCACCTCCAGCCAGGACCCCCTGGATTACCAGGTCGGGAGTGGGGGGGTGGTGGTGGTGGCTGGGGGTAGGGGTGGGTTGTGCTGTCCTCGGAGAACGCCTCGGGCGACTGGGGCCCCCATGGCCCCAAAGCGGTGCGGCGCGACGGACCGTGTGGTGAGGTCTTGCAGGGATTCCGAGGTCCACGCGCGGTCTCTCACCGCACAGGCTTGTGCCCGCACTCCAGCAGATAGGATCGGAGGCTCGCGCCGTATCGCCGATGCATCGCCTATGCATGAGCCCGTTTTTCTTCACGCCGACGTCGCCGATGCATCGCCGATGCATCGGCGATACATCGGCGATGCGGTGCAATCCTCCGACCCCATCTACTCAGACCCCATCTAGGCGGCCTCTGGGGATGGCCTCGGCCCCCAACTGCTCATAAATCGCCGACAGGGGGCCTGATGGCCCACCCCGCCCAGGAGTGCGGAGTCGCTACCGGGGGGCCTATCGCCGATCTGTCGGCGACGGATTGCCGATTCCAGCTCGACGTTCCGCCCGCTTGAGCGAGTCCGCCCTAACGTGCCCCCTGAGTCGAGGATGGAGGATCGACTTCGGTTGTGCTTTCACTTCTGAAGAACGTGTGTTTGTAGACCCCCTCCCCGCCGCTGCTCAGAGTGCTTTTCCAATTCAAGTGCCTTTTCAGCTCTTGCACCCTGTTATTGCAAGGGAACGTATTGGTGCTCAAACTGTGTTGCTGGCCCCCTGGGCTGCGACAACAGGGTCTCCCGCCTGACGCTTCTTCACAATCTATTCCAGAATCGCGCTTTCGCTCCAGACACCCTTGCATCTTGACAGAAATCGTGCTTTTGCTTGACCTTCCATCATTGTTTCGGATTCGCGCCCTCGCCGCTCTAGAATTGTGCTCTCGCCCAGGACCTCCTCTCAATGTACTTCGGAATCGCGCGCTTGCCTGATATATCTTCGCAATTTACGAAAGAATCGCACCCTGATGTCCCGACCGCCCGACCAGCCCTGCAGGATCCACCCGCCCGACCATCTCGTCGCCCGCTTGCTGTAATCTCGACAGGTTGTACAGCAGGAACAACCGACCGTAGGTTCGAGCCTGGAAACATGGGGAAACCCATCCAGCATACCACACCACGAAGCTGCTCGACATACTGGACTGGCCAGGCCAGCGGCTCAAGCTTGCATGGACTCATGGGGGTAAGCTGCACGTGTCGTAGTCATGATAATGATAGCAAGAGAACGTACTGCTTGCTGGAGGACGGCCCGACGGGCAACACCAGGCGCACTCAAAGTCGGAATCCAGTCAGTTTTCGTAGTGCATCGAGGCTGTCGGCCCCATAATGTTGTCGGATTATTGACCAGGGTTCATAATGTTCCCCCCGGAGCATTATGAACCTGGGTTTAAATGTTCCGGGACATATTGACTGGGGTTCATAATGTTCCCCTTGGAACATTCTAAGCCTTGGTTTATAATGTTCCGGGAATATCGACCCCAAAAAGATCTTGACTTGTCTTCATAATGTTCAGGAAATATTGACTGGGGGTCATAGTGTCTCGGGAATAATGAACCCAGGTTATAGTTCTGGATTGATATTAATGGAGGTTGAGGGGCGTCGCCTGAGCCATAGGCGGATATTCGGAATTCGGATTCATGATTCCGGAATGATTCTAATTATTATTTTCCCCCAACCCCGCTCCTCCAAGCTGGGATTCCGTGTGTTAGAATACTGACCTTGGTCCGTCATCTCTAGAACATCATAAGCTGGGGCTCGTAATGTCCTAGGAATAATGAACTCAGGTTTATTATTCCGGACTGGCAATGATCTGGCGGAGGGGGGGAGCGCTTGAGAAGGAGTTTGGACTGGGATGGACCCTCGTTCGTTGTGTCGGAATATCGATCGGAGGTGGATAGACCTCCTACCCTGACACGTCGATTGAGGAATTGGCCGTTTTCGGGTCGCGAGAGGGCGTCGCGGCCGTATTTTTTTGCGGGTCCAGGTCCGTCAATTTCGGCCCTGGGTCGTTTTCACTAAGGGGAGGTTTACTAAAGGGAGGTTTGTCCACCGCCGAATCGACCTCAGATGCATTATTCCGGAATGGAAATGATCCGGCGAGGGGGAGGGGCACCGATCCATCCACAGGACAATAACCCAACTCAGGAGGGAAAGCAACACACAGACGCAATTCATCGTCGACTCCCAGGAAAATATGGGAGAATATGGGAATTGGGGGGGAAGACAAAAACCCTGGAAATATTTGGAAATATGGGGAATCCGGTTATTTGTGTGTATTTATTTGTGTGTCCCAGGGCCCCTTCACCAATTGGGGGTATCATCTGAACATAACGAACCTGGGTTTATCATTCCTAGATGATAAACCACGGTCGACGAGGATTTCGCGCCCACCCTCGCACCTCCACTCCGCAAAAGGCACATTGCATCAAGTTTTCTTTGCTTCTCGTCGGTGTCCACACCGCACCACGGCAGAAGATTTTAAGTAGACTGGCATCCTCTCGGTTCAGACTGTCTCGAAAATCCGCCCACGTTCTCTGTGAAGATGCTGCGATATCGATGTGCTCGGCTCCGTCAGCGTCTTGCCTGGCATGGCAAATGGTGGCAAGCGCGCGGGCACGGCAAACTTGTCTGACCATGTGGACGGCTTGAGGTTCATCGCTCCAAACGTATCTTCTGGCTCCGAACACTCGCTTGCAATTGGCGTCGCTCTCAGCGGGATCCCGCCGAAACAAGACACCACGTTCTGGATCATACAAACTCCAAGCCCACACGCTCGAAGATGTTACCGAGTTTCTCCGCTAGAAACGAGCTCCATCGTAGATTCCAATACGTCATTCTTTCCAATGCTATCAACAACGTACTATGCACTGGATGTAGATGAATATGACTGGCCCAGAATCTGTCTCTGCACCACCAGGAGCATCGGATTCTGACCACACTCTTGAGCAACTTAAGCTCGAGCTGGGACGGTGGTAAGCTGAAAACAGGGCAACACCAACTCTAGAGATTCTTCAAATACTCTTGCAGAACGATGCAGCGTGTCGCAATACCGCCTGGAATCTCTCGTAATCTTTGAGCGGCTTGCAGGACTTTGGACAAACCGCTCGCTGGGGTAATAGGTTGATGGTGACCATCTGGAACTGCGTACCGGTGGAGGGACCCGTCCTCGAATAAGCGCTGTCGTCGCCACGGCATGGGGAATCTGATCATAGCATTTTGATACGTCTCTTTCGGCTCCACAGGCCCCGCTCTCACAAGAATGCAACTACTCACAACAGGCCTCAACCACCGAGACCCCTGGTTTACAAGCATATTGGTCGGCGGGAGGAACAGGCAGACAAGGTTCACATGCCGATAGCCACGTACGTAGTAATACTGATGCTATCCCAATCGGGTGGCTCTGCGATGGATCCTTTTTCGGGATCCCCACCACCCTCCAGGAGAACAGTAGCTGGGCCACTTCAGCATCAGGAGCGCGCACTCTCATCTAGTTTGGCCAGTAGCTTGACTTCTTTGGCATTCCATCCATCGAACCCCGCACTGCCTCTGGTCTTACGAATCGCACGGTGTAGGTCGGAGACTGTGAGTAGCCAATCCTCCGCGTACGAGCTGACGGGCAAGACCTCGCGCACCTGAGAAGCGTACCAGGCTCATTGCTCCGCGTAAATGTTCTCGTCGTAAGTGTCTGGGGCTGGGCACCAGACCTTTTCCCATTCGTCGGGCATATACTGTGCTGTGAAGGACGGACAGTCCGATGCATTGTGCATGACGTCGGAAGCCGCTTTCCAGGAGTCGTTGGACCACTCGAGAAACAGCTTCTTCCAGTTCTCGATCGAGGCCACCTTGGCAGCCTCCTCCTGCTTGGCAATGGCGCGGCCGATGTGCTCGTGGGCTAAGGCAAATGAGAGCCTCACGTCGACATGGAACGCCTTGGCGTGGCCTGCCATAACCGAGCCCATGTGCCTAGCATCACATGTGGTAACAGTGAAAGATGAGGACCATGCCGAATGTGTACAGCACCTTGTTGTACCACTCGCTCAAGACGGGCAAGAACCACCGGCTCTGGCGGTCGTCGGACAGGTCGGGACCCCACAGGTCTTGAGCTCGCGAGAGAACCCTTGGCTCGCTCCGCCCGGCCCGTGGCCACAACCAACCCGGCGTCACGTGCATGCTGGAGTCGCGCTTCCGCTCGTGCGTGCCAGTCGGCCCACAGCTTCTTGAGGCGGGCTGCGTCGGGCGGCTCCTCGACGGCGCCTTCCTCCTCGGCACCCCTGGGCTCCGCACTTGGGCCAACTCGAGTCTCGATCTCGGCGAATACCTGCTGGTCGGTTTCCCCGTCGTGGTATGCCCTGCCCTCGTGAAATATGCGGCAGCGGCGAAGACGGTAGTCTGGCTTCGGACGGCAGGTATATCCATTGTGAATTCCACCAGCCCATGATACGGTACTGTAGTTAGCGCCACCGTCATAGAACATCTGGAAAACATGTCTCTGGGCGGAGCCGTTCTCGCAGTCGTGGTAGCTCTTGAGCTGCACAAGACCACGGTCGACGGTAGCACATCCTCGTAGACTGCGCCAGTTCAAATCACCAGCGATCATCTATGGCTTGGGCGTATCCGCGCTATCTGCAGCCAGGCGGCGATGAAAAGCGAGAACTGAATCCCACCACGTGGGATCTGGACGCTGGGCTGGCCCATACGCAGAGCAGACTATTCCATCTCGAAGAACAATCGTAATAGATGTGTGGTCAGCTTCTCCGTGTACTGCTGCTGGCCCGAGAGAGGGTCGCCACAAGATAGGCT